TTACAAACGAGACAGTAATTGCCAAAATTATTCCAATTCGCAACCCTTCCTAAGTGTCCCGATATTTATGATCAAGGGTGTACATCCCCTTCTACTCACTCCATATGGACCATGCAAAATTGATCATGGTGTAAAGTCGACGGGCTAATATCGAGATAAAGATCCAGCTACCAAGGATCTAATTGCGAACAAAGTCACCTAACATTACCAAACGCTCTATCGTGATTTTAACACTAAATGTACCATAATATTATTAAAACAAATAAATAATAAAGAAGATAAAAGATAAAAAGGAACCATGAAAATGAAAAGTGGATGGTACTTATTAGAAGAAAAATTGCGAAAGCACGCAATCAGAGTGACGAATGCTGAATTTTCAATCAAAATTTTGAAAATACTCGTTTAATTCGTGGTAAATTCAGAGTTAAATAGGCAAAAATTACGTTCGTTGTTCGAAAAAAAAACCGATAAGCTTCTCGGAAACGGCTACTAATCGGCCCATGTATCTCGATACGAGCAATTGAAAAATAAGCGATTAACTTAACTCGCTGACCGAAAAAATATAGTTACTCGAGAAATAATTGACGATCCAAATTGACATAGTTTGACAATGCTTGAATAAAGGACTATAAAAGCAAAGGTAAGAACGAACATCTAAAATAATACATCTAAAAATTTAACAATTTATAACACGGTATAAATTTATTTTGCACAACAGGTCTCTCGCGACACGGATGGTCCGACGCCATTGTGCAACGATGCATCAGCATTAAGAGGGTTAATCCTTTGCACTTTGCGATTATTTTTCAATTTTATTGCCAATAACTCTCTCCTATTTCAATCATTTCCTTTAAATTTACTTCACAGGACAGCTCATCGACTGCTACTTATTTTAAGGAACTTTGTTTACCGATCATATTAAATATAACTCTCAAACATTATTGTAATTTACATTTTAAGTTCAAGTAATTCGAGTAGTTACTTATTCCCTGTTTTCTTGTTCGATAAATAGAGAATGGAAAAATGTCGAGTGTAACTCGACATAGGAGTTCCTGTGATAGAGACTGACGTCGAGTCACACTCGACAAAGGAGTGCAAAGGATTAAGAGCGAAACTAATGCGCCTTCCGGCATGTTCGATGTGGCCTAGGGAAACTTACGCTGGATGCTGATCGAACGACATCTGAAATCGTGGCGGAGTAATCCCCAGATTCGAGGACGACGATGACGCACCGCGCGAGCGGATGAAAGTTCGCACGCAGGCTTGGTGATCGTTAACAAGCAGCTGAAACGCGAGCACAACGTGATCCACCGAAATCGAGGAGCTCGAGGAACGCTGAAAGTGCGTGAAACGCAACGGGAGAACTTGCACTGCTCACCGCGAACGATATTAGAATATTTATAACTGGTGGAAAGCGAGGTGGCGTTTTAATTTAGCATGATAAGATAAGAGACCGAGACTTCCTTTCTTCGATTCCGCGAGCGTTACTATTATCTCGGCGGTAAATAGTCTTCCACGTAAGCGTGCCGAATGGCCAAAGCCTCTTGATCGTCGCTCGATCGAAGATAAAGGGTAATTTTCGATTTATCAATGCGTCACCGATAACGCCGATCAACAATTAATGCTTCGCACATTCTAGATTATTCCCCGATAACTGACCAAGATCATCACTTACGTCCATCACGGCACCACGCAAAATGGTAGCCGCAATTTCGAAACGATGAAATTACAAAATGGTGATTACGCGTTCAAACTTCTAATCGATGTTTCTCGGCGAAGGAAAATCATCTGGTTATAAATCTAGCTTGATTATACGAAGAAAAGTTGGTCGATGAAAATATTGAAAAAAAATTGATATCCCTTATAGAAGTTTCGATTTATCGAAGTTTAAAAATGGCAGCCTTGAAGTTCGAACTTCAAGTCGGTATATCTCGGCGAGAAAAAATCGTCCGGTTATAAATCGAGTTTGATTTTGCGAAGAAAAATTGGTATTATACGGTGCAGTCGATAAAAATATTGGAAAAAAATTGATATCTCTGAGAGAAATTTCGATTTATCGAAGCTTCGAGTAAGAGAAGTTTAACGGAACAGAGGCTCGAGGAAAGAAAAAGTACGTAATATTAGTGTGAGTTGATCTGTTAATAGATTGCTGATCGATATATAGCTCGCTATGTTATACCTCGCTATATCGATTCGCACGATTCTTCGAGTTATAGAGACAGCGATGGAAAAGTTCGGCTTGCAGAGGTCGGGTTACTCTGTATTCGAATTGCAAGAACAGAATAATATACTTCAATATGTGGGAAATAATTCGAGTTAAAGAAACTTTATATTTACATTAAATACACAAAATGATAATCTTCTAGAGATTTCCGACTGTATTGTAATTCGGAAAATACATCGATGTTTATAACACCAATTCTCCTTATTCCTAACCTCACTTTTAACTATCGGAGTACGTCATTACTTTATTGCACGAGACTGAAAGAAATTAGTGAGAATCGTTTTTGATACGAACCCTTTAATTGTCATATGATTTTATGCAAAACAATAAAAAGAAGAAAAAGAAAAATAATAAAACGATTCGTATCTATGTAGTTGTTGACGTTACCGATCAAGAACGTTATGGCCGAGCTTGTCCGGCAACTTCAAACGCAAGAAAAATATAGGACGTTCTGTTACAGGTGGAAGACATTGTAGAAAATGGAGCTCGAATGAGGGACAAGAGTGGCGGCTCTCTAAATCCGGTTAAACAAACCTACCTGTCTACACGTATTTTATCAAACTGCCAGATACGATCCTCCGAGGTACTTGGTAATTACGATGATGTAACACGGTTTCAGATAAAAAAAACGTGAATTAAGACCGTATCGTTTAATTTCATAATTACGCGCAACCGTTGACACGGCGAATACACGATGGGTCCTAAGCAATAGAGAAGTCCGAAATTCACCAATTCCATATCTCAAAATTCGAGTCGCTGACGTTGTCTCGCCTACCTGTCTTATTTCCCCATGCACCACGTTAGTGACACGGACGCCCGCGTTTCCACCGATGTATTTTGTTTAAACAAACTGCCTGTCACGTGTTACTACACCGCTCCGTTTATGTAACCGTACGAGGTGCACACACGATCGAGAATACTAGACAAATGTGCTCTGCCCCGAATAACCTCTCAATGAGTATGCGGGAAAAAGCGCGAAACAAATGATAATCGTGTGTGTACACAGTACAGAAGTGATTTCAACTATTTTCGGGGCTAGAAAGAACGTGGCCGGCTAGAAACGACGCGTGAATAATCGCGGTGACATTTTCGAACTGACATTGAGCTTTTCTAAAGATAAAATTATGCAAGAATAAACAAGTGATATATCGTTTCCATTGGTTCGCCCATTGCTGTGACAGATTCGGCGATATCAATTTGCGGATTCGCCGCTAGATGATTCGTAACGATACACTATTCCACCCCCTGTCAAACAACTTTATTCGCGACACATAGAACACAACGTCGGTACAGTGTACATAGCCCGTTTTTTCCAGAGTGAATGCAAACAGTACTCGACGAGATCTGCCGTAATGTCATAACACTTTTTCGACGTATTCACGAATTTCAAAGTGTAACCTGAACACATGAAATGCATCGTGACAAGGAACGATTCGAAAGACAACGATCCGATACTTCGCAGAAATTGCCTCATGATGGCAGGTGCAGGACAATTTCCGTCTTGACTTTATAACCTCTTCTTTCATCTCGCCGTTGACGTTTAAACAACTGCACGATTTTTTATCTCGCGTATCAATCGAATCGCGCAACGTATGGAAACGGAAAATATTCCGATACTAATGAAATCGCGACAGACCGCGAAATTATCAATGATATGCGACGCCTGTTTCAAAAAAGAAGCGAAAAAAAAAAAGTCATCAGCCCTGAATTGTACTTACTCGTCTTCGACTCGAACCCGCTTTTATCGATGCTAGCCGACCTCGCACATTCTTACACTTTTCATGATTACAAACTCACCCCTCGAAAAACCACGAAATTACGAGTCTCGATGCGAGAACCCGACAATTTTACAGACAAAAAAGTTTCCTCACATCCGACGGAACGGAGGTCGTCTGTGAACTGACGCGTCTCGACTCTAGCTCGTTCGCGAGCGTTAGCAACTCTACCTATCGTCGATTCTTTGCAAACAATCCTCAAGAGAACATTCTATTGGCTCTGAGATTAACACGGAGTGAACGAGACACGGATCCTGATTGGTCGCCATTTGGACGTCCAGAAGAATTTCCGGCATGGCTTTGCACTGCTTTGTTACTAGCATCGAATAACTTCCGTTTCTTCAATAATAACGAACGGTATCTTCTCCAATCGAAACACATGTTTAGAGAGAAAGCAATATAATTTCTAAATTCAAGTATTATACGATATTGTAAAATTCAACTAATTTCAGAATTATTGTATAAGATACTTCTAAAATAATTTCAATAAGAATTTGTAATTTTTATATTATTTACGTAGTCCAACGTTATATCGTGTCATATAACGATAAATGTATAAACCTGATTATATTTGTTATTAAATTTTATATACGAATAGAATGTATAAATTTATTTGTATAGATATATCGTAGTTATGTTTAATTACAAAATATTTTAATTAAATACAAAAGGATATACGATGAACCATAGAATTCAAAGATTCTTTGCAATTTTGTGATACATATTCTTATCTTTCGAGTTATCATTGTAATTATTATTTTCTAATATGAAAATAGATAACATCGAAGATTGAAAATCTCACATTTACCATTTATATTTTGCATAATTCACAAAAATTCATTACGCGAGAAGAAATATACAACTTTTTTTTTTCTTAATAACATGAAACAAAAATTATAGATATGATTAAAAAGAAAATATCTTAATTTACATAATAAGACGTTAACTAAAATTAGTTCGAAGTTGTTGCGCGCTCTGAGGTGGTTCGCCCGCAATTCATCGTAACAAAGCAGACTTCCGGGACCTTAGTGCTCAAATGGCCGACGCCAAGGTTGCGTTTTCTGTCAAACGAAATTATTTCTAACGCCAGTAAAATCATGTAATTGTTCATCGATACTTTGAATAAATCGTTTAAACGTGGGTAGATCGATGCGTGGATCGTGGAATCGGGGTGTGTCCACGACTTTAATGAACAATAACGCAAGAAGAGGCACCGGTGCCTTTTCAAATTTTGGATTCAGTGCGAGAGTAATCCCTGTTCTTTATTGGGGGTGTGAATAAAAGCGAACAACTAAAAGCGTACCACAGCAAAAGTCAAGGCATAATCAGCCCGCTTAAGAATGCAATTCAGATGATCCGAAATACTTGACAGCCAAATCGACGTTATGAATTCGAGTTAGTGTGCTTTTAGTGATGTCGTGTCGAACTTTGTACGCGCGAAGCTTGTTTTGCTTTCCAATCTCGATTCAGTGAATTATTTTGTTCGTATTTAAATGAATCGTACTGATAAATTATGAGGTTGACGCTCGATCGTTAGGGAATCTCGTCACAAGTGAAAATTCTTCCCATCTACTTCGATTGTTTGCATCGAATTTATTACTCAAATGGTCTTCCCTGACTACTGAAGATAGAAATTAAATTGTACTTGAGGAATATAGTGAGTAAAATGCAATCATTTATGAGAAGCATATTCTTTTTTTGATTTCATGTCATTCCATAAATAGAATGCAAATATTATGTATATTTTATATATAGTAAATGTGCAGTTAGTTTTATCTTTAAATTTATCTAGTTGTATCATATAACAGTGATTGAATATATATATATTTCTCTGTTTTATTTCTCAATCTCTCCATTATAATCATTTATCAAATTTTAAGCTAGATATGTGTTTATGCATATATGTATATAATGATTATGTAAAAATATAAAACTCAATATTTACCTATATACACATACACATATATATATGCATTTATTGTACATTATTTTTGTTTGTTTTGAAAATGAAACATTATATGTTATGTTATAGACATAGATATGGAGGATAGCATGAGTGTTAAATCAATGGAATCAGTGGCGACAAGTGATGAGTATGAATTTGTAAATGACAGAGGTAATGGAAAACATCAACAAACACTAATTGAACCACCAATGTTAAAGATTGCCAACAACGGCAATTTTGAAGATCTTCAAAATAATCTTCACGAGGTTTGCAGTCATTTGTAATATCTATGAGCAATAAGTTTCGATCTGCATTATCTTTTCCATTAGATATCAATAATTATCTGAGTCACTGATAAAAAACCATAGGTATTAACAGAAGATTCAAAGATGGAAAGCAATGAATATAAAATTGTGAGCAGTGCACAACAAAATCAATCAAAATCTAAAAAACTAGGGCAAAGTAAATTTTATGATGTAAGTTCTTGCATGGTTGCATCTGAAAAACAAGATATTATGAAACCAGAAGATTATATCGATGAAGGTACAAATTATTATTTCTTTACATCAGTCATGAAAGATATATATTTTACAGATTATGATATTCATTATATTTTAGAAATAAATTCTTTGGCTCATGTTCAGCAAGAATGTACTATTTTCAATGGTGTAACTTATCTGGGATCAGCAGCAATAAATGCACCAAAATCAGAATGTGAAATACAACGTAATATGAATATATTAAATGCAGAGCAGTCTCCTAATTTGGGAATTAAAGTATCTGTTTCTGTGCCTAGTAGTTCTCAAGGCTCTGTTGTGTATGTATAAATAATAGAAATTCCCATAACATATTTTTTCATATTAGGTCATATGTTATTATCTTTGTAATAGTTCATACGATGCTGCTACTCAGCAACCAATTGCACATTATGAAGTACAACGAATTTTATTTTATGCACGTGGTGAAAGTGTTGGTCCTTGTGCAGCATGTTTTGCTTTTACATGGTCACATGGGGATACATTGGAATCTGCCATTTATCAGTGTCATGTTTTTCGGTGTGATATACCAGAAGCAGTATGTTCAGTGCACTTTTATAAAGTACTATAAAATTTTAATCCAGTTATATAAATCTATTTCATTATAGGTAGGACAAGTTTCCGCTTGTTTTTCCAAAGCCTTTCACAGAATACCACGTTCAATGACAAGCTCTTTGACAGGAAGTGATTTCAATGGTTTTAATATTGGAAGTGAGAAAACTAATTCCCGAGTATTTATTTTTGAAGTAACAATGGAAATAAAGGAAGAAGATGGAAAAGGAGGTTTCAGCATAGTTCCTAAGGATAGAAATTATTTCAAGCTTCGAAGTAATGTATCTAAACAAGTGTATTTAAGTATTCAACAAGTATCTAGCAAAGAAGGAGGAATTACTCTTGAAGTTGAAAGGTGCTTTGGAGTCCTTGTTAGTCCTGGTCGTAATGTTAAACATAGTGATATGCGTCTGCTTGAAATGGTAAAATCGAATATTTAAGAAATAGACATTTGTAATTTCATAATATTTTCTAGCTTTTGATAATATAAAATATTATTTTTAGCAAGTCAATGCTAGTCCATTAATTCAGGATAAACAATGTTACAATATATATGGACACTGGGATCCTGCAGATCCAGCCTTGGAAGCTCTTAACATTGAAACCCCGAGAGAAGGAAAAATTTATATGACAGTTGCTGTTGATTTAGTAATACGTGATATTCGAGAACCTGTTAGATTCATAATAGAAACATTAGTTAAAGTATTTCCACAAAATGAAAGATTTTGGTATTTTAATAAACGAAATCTTGTACAACAGTTTTACCTTAATTCGAAAGAAGTAAGATATTATTAAAAAAATATGTATATTTTTATTCGTCGTAATATTATATATTTTATAACTATTTATTACTATCTTTAGATAATACCCGGAGATGGCACGGAAGTTCACTATGAAGTACAAAGTATAGAAACTTCAGGAGAACTTGACAGAAACAGATTAAATCTTGCTCTTAATTTAGCTTCACTGATTCGATCTCCTTCATTAACTAGCATTGACACGCTTACACCCAAAGAAGAAATAGATTCAGGTTTAAAAGATATGCTAAGTCTATGCTAAGTTTTACTTAATGGATAGAATAAAAAATATATTAATTTTATTTTTACAGATGGAGATGAACCAATGTTAAGTGGTACAGGGGAAGTATCAAAAGATTGCTCTGCAGATGAATTAGCTAGTTGGGCAGAAGTACTCGATAGCTGGCAAGTTAATGAACAACGTCCAAAACTTCTCATAAAACTTACAAAACAAGGTATTCCTGAAGCTTTACGCGGAGAAGTATGGCAACGTTTAAGTAATTGTGATAATTCACAAGAAATGATGGATAGATATAGAACCTTAATTACTAAGGTAAGTACACTAATGTGCGGAAAACATGGTGCATGATAATTATATCGTGTTATATCTACAGGAGAGCAGTTGTGAGAGCGTTATTTTAAGAGATATTAATAGAACATTTCCTGCCCATGACTTTTTCAAAGAAACAGGTGGTTTGGGTCAAGATTCTTTGTACAGAATAAGCAAAGCATATGCAGTGTATGACGAAGAAGTTGGATATTGTCAAGGACTTAGTTTTTTAGTTGCTAGTTTATTGCTTCACGTAAGTAGTTATCACCCACTGGTTAATATTTGTAAGAAGAATATCTACATTTATGGTAGTAATTTATTAGGTTATTTAATGACAAGAAAAACATTAGGTATTTCTTGTAGATGCCGGAGGAACAAGCTTTCTGTGTTCTGGTTAAGTTAATGTATGACTATGGTCTAAGAGATTTGTATAAGGATAGATTTGACAACCTTCATATGAGATTTTATCAGCTTAATAGATTAATAGAGGTTTGTAATAAATTTTGGTTAATTAGATTAATTATAATACTTCTTCTAATAATTATTGACTTTTTAGGATCAGCTGCCAGAACTCTATAAACACTTTTGCGTTCGCGGTGTAGAAACACATATGTTCGCTGCACAATGGTTTTTAACACTGTTTACAGCCAGGTTTCCACTTTATCTTGTTTTCCATATCTTGGATGTATTCCTTTTACAAGGACTTGATACATTGTTTCAAGTCGCTCTCGCATTATTAATGGTAAGCATCGATTTGTAATTTATAAGAATTTTTATGGAATATATTACTGAAAAAAAAAAAATATGTTTCCATAGTTATGCAAAAAAGAACTACTACAACTAGATTTTGAAAGTATATTAAAATACTTTCGGGTGCATTTGCCTAAACGTTGCCGAAACGAAGAAATATCGCGTTATGTCATGAAATTAGCTTGTTCAGTTACCTTGAAGAAACTGAAGAAATATGAAGCAGAATTTATGACACTTAAAGGTAATTTCATATTTTATGTTTGAATAATACAAATATTTATTGGTATTTGTACATCTAACAGCCATGTAAAATATGGTCATGTTTTTTGTACACATGCAATTTCCATAAAATCGAAAAAAATTTGTGTGATTATAAATTTAATTTTATTATATCGAAGCTTTACATGTTCGTCTTCGTTGCCATATTTTAGAAACGGAATTTCTATTTTCCATTTCTTACAATAGAATATAGAATATGAGTGAAAATCAAAATAATATATATTTTGAATTAATTTTAATTTTTAAGAAAATTAGCAGTGCTTTATTGATTGCTAACTGAAAGAAAAGATACATCACATTGATAAAAGTGTTGATAATTTTTCTTTTTATGAGACAAATATTCTTTACATTTGCATGTCACAATTCTATGCTTATTATACCAAAACACGAACTATGTTCATTTGATCTCTTAAGAAAGCTATTCAATGAAAAGTTTGTCTTTAAACAAAAATATTTGATTTTACTAATACTTGAAATTTACTGTATAATCCACGCTATTGAAAAATAATTTATTGCACAAAACGGGTGGTGGTTGAATGAATAAACATAATATGCGGAAAATTATATCGCAAATATTATATTGACAAAATGCGTCAAAAAAGAAAAAAGATAAATTTAAATACTCGATAGAGATTTTAGTGACATTTTCTTATTTTCGAATAGTATTCCACTCAATTTTATATAATTATTATAAATGGACATATTGTCAAATCGAGTGGAACCGCAAGCTGTGTATATGTGCTGATAAAATATAAATTCAATGATAATTACTCACGAGCATGAGATTTCAACCAGTTGACGAATCATGAAATATATGTATGCTAATCTTTGTTATCATCGTGTAAGTTTACTGCGACTCAGTATTGTGTCGTTTGAAATAGAATATATTAATAAGAGTATCGTTATTACAATTGTAAATAGAACTAGTAAACTGGCTGAAATATCATAATTGTTATGTTACTATGTTATACTATTTGCAAGATAAATACAATTTTTTTTTTGTTGGTTGTGCTGTGCTTAATGCGGGTATTTTTTCCCCAAATGCTAACAAACTGTAGATTATCAGTATCACTTGTAAGCTGAAAGCTCTCTAAAAATTGTAATCAATGTAAATTGTTCTAGATTTGATTTTTTTTTTTTTTTTGTTCAATTATTTATGTTGTAATATTTGTAAATTTTTATAATCTTATGTTGTCTATAATAACATCTTTTCGCACTTATACAGCTTTGTATACTGTCTTGTGTACCAATTTTTATAAAAAAATATTTACTTTCTCTTATTGGAAATAAATTGTCCATTTAGAATATCGTTTTTAATTTTGTCAATTTACCTGTGTGTACCCTATTCCTTATACTTTTAGTTTAATTTTTTGCTTCAGTTGAAATTGCTTGTAATATATAGTAGTAGTATGAAGGTACAAAGGCTTATAGTTTTTATTTTACTAATTACTAATCATATAGTTAAAGAAATTATACTTTAAAAGAGCTATTACTAAAATTATTTAAATAGTAGTACTTTTATGATATTAAAAAAATTTCGGCAAGAATTTGTATACAAAGTTGTTGAGGCTTACAAGGATTAATAAATGCGTCGATAATTATGGAAGCGGTTTGAGTAAAGAATTCAAAAGAAATGACTTTTCCACGTATTTTTGGATTGCGTTCATTTAGATTGAAATAAAATAAAATTACTTTTGGCAAAATAGCAAAGTATTGAACCGGTTAGGGTGTAATTAATTTTTTAAATTTGTAATATATTTAAAGCGCGAAACTTTAAATATATATCGAAACGAAACACGTATGACTCAGGCCACTTTCATAATCACCAACGCAAATATCAAAATATTTTAATTAGGATAACAAGCATATTATCGCGACACTTAGAAATTATATCGTTCTGTTAAATAAAGTAGATAATATCAAGTGTATATAAAGAATCCTAGAACTGTAAAATAAATAATTAAAAATTTATAATCTATTTCTTATAACTTGAACGCGTTAACATTTTTTTTATCAGTTACATTATCTGTACATTTGTGAGCTATAGCAGGTAACAAACATATCTAGTTAACAGCTGTGCCAGCAGTTTAAAATTGGCCGTGGTATGTTCTGCACGGAGAGTATATAGCGGGACATTGGTATCTGCTTTTGCAAGATATCGTCTGTCGGCCAGTTACACTGAAGTCATTCGTTTTCAATGTTTCACTGAAATCATGAGCCACACTATAAAGGCATTGATAGAGAGTAAGATTGTATTTACAAGTTTCTTACATAATAACAATTTGAAGTATAGTAATATTGTTATATAATATTGTTATAGAAAACAAGGAAAAATACTAAATACTTCAGTGCGAAAACATACAAATAAACTTTATATTTTATTTTATTCGTGTTTATTTACAGTAACTTGAAACATGTATACGCTAACCGAACAACATTTTCTTATGATACAGAGGCACAAGAGAATGCGGATGAGTATAGCAACGAGGTAGAACAATTAAGAGGGACAGTAGCGCGCAATGAGGAAGAAAAACAGAGATTAGAAGCTGAGTTGGCTCAGGTGAAAGAAATGTTACAACGTGAAGTGGCAAGAGCAGAAACGGAAAGCCGACGAAGTAACATTATTATTGCAGAATACAAACAGGTAAGTAAATGCAAATAATCATGTCTATCATATCAATGAATAAACTCTATTAAAAACTATCATGAAATATTCATTTTAGATTTGTCAACGTTTAGAAGACGACTATAATGCTGCAAAGACAACACTTAGCGAATTACGAGTAAGTAAAGAACGTTGAATTCTCATTGAATGTTCGCGTGATATTTTATGAATTAATTTATTTTCTAGTCCAAAGTTTCAAAGTGTGAAAAGTGTAGAAGCTGCATAATGGATTCGTCTAATATATTAGCAGATATTGCGCATCACCGAATACAGGAAAGAGTGCGAGAGTTAGAATTGGAGTTGGCACAAACAAAGCTAGCCCATGTCGAAGCCGAATGTAGAAACCAGGTAAACATAGAGTTTATTATTCATGGATATTACTTTTTTAAGAATGGCTTTATTTTATAGGATTTGACGCATCAGTTGCATGCAACTGCTTCTGAACTTCAAGCAGCAAGAAACAGTTGGCCGTGGCTTAGTAAGACGCTGTCTAGTATAAAAGAAGCAGCGAATAAAAGAGAAGTAATGGCACCTTCATTAATGAAAGATTTGAGGCGAGACAGTGCACCCGGAGGTGAAATGCATCACTTGATACATTCCCGTAATCGCGAGACTCGCGATAATCTCAAAGAAGTTGTGTGATGCAGTAAGTATTCGAATTGAAATGTGCACGTACGTACATACACACACCCATGGGTGCACATGCGCGCATGTGTACGTTTAAACCTGGAAGGCTATTACTGAAGTAGAAGAATAAACCTAATTATAATATATAACATATATGTATTAAAACAAAGTTACTTTAACCAGGCAGAGTATTGGAGGAAGAATTCGTACATTAGAAGAAAAAGACCTATTTCAAATATAAATTCGAATACACAATGTACGTCCATGATTACATGTAGTATTCTACTTGATCTGTTTATATAATATACGCTCAGTATATGTTATGTCAGGTTCCTCATGTGCACTATTTAATCGTGTGCTTCTAGCGAGGGCAGCTTTATCCTACACCTCTGATATTAATCTTGAGATATTTCTTGTTGATATTTGTTAATTTTTTTTAGTATACTCATTTTTACTTAAATTTGGTTTGTAAATTATGAATATTATTTCATATATGATTTTTAAGTCTTTATAAGAGATTTCATGCGAAATTGGGAATCCTATATTAAGCAATTAATTAAGCGATAGGGCACATACGGAGATGCAAAGAAGATTACAATAGATGTTAGCGATAAGTTCACTACGTTTTGTATGAAACTAGTCTAAGATGTGGAATATAGAGGTACTATAGAATTACTGTACATATACATATAGCACTCTCAGGCAACTAACAAACGTAACAGACTGCAGAAATGAGAGATTCCACATTTAATAAATTGGGTTATATGAAGCAGACTATTTCTGCAATTTTATTTACTTTTTGTACGGATTTGTTATGATGACATTTGTTTTTTTTTTTTTTTTTTTTTTTTTTTTTTTTTTTTTTTTTTTATTGAACTCTAATTTTAACCGAAATGTTTAGCACTTTTTTTTATTGAAAAATATTTATGTCAATAACTGATTTCTTCAGAGCTAACTTAACTAAGGAGAAGACTCAAGTAAAATGTTCAAATGAAAAGTGATTTTCGGCCATTTTTTCATAACATAAAATGCAGCTCTAAACGCAACGGAATGATTTTTGCATAAAATTTTTAATTTCGTTATTTAATAAATATAACTAATATTATGATTAAAATTATGCTTCAAATCAGTCCAATCCATTAATTATTTTTTGAGTTATATTACACGCTAATTTGCAAAATGCGGTTTTTAAGAAACCGATTTTAAGTTCGCATTTTGGAAAAATCAATTTTGAAAACTTACTTTTGTTTGAAGTTAACCTGCGATTCCAAGTCTATATAATAATTTACCTTTTGTTTAAAAGTATTGTTTTATGCTATAAAAAACAAAATCGATTTCTGTGGCCTGTTTCTTGAGTCTCCCTCCTTAAATCACTATAAGTAACGTAAAGTACATGAAAAAACATACTTCAACTTGTTTAATTTTTATATGTACTTTGTTATCTGCCGGTGTTAGTAATAATCATACAAAACGATTTGCGACGTTTTGTACATACGATGACATAACATGACATAAGACTAGATATAGTCTTTTGCGATATAAAATATTTTTTTGTTTATTCTTTTTTCTTGGAGAGTTTAATTATCTAAGTTTAAAATTGATAAACGTCACATATATACTTGGTGTTTAAAGATATATTTAATTGCCATTTGTGCTTCTTTCTGATGAAGTCTATATCTATTAGACCTAAGGCCATAAATTATGTTAAGGCACTACTTGAAGTTAGAATTTAATCAGATGTTTAATAAATACTTCTGTCATATGAACAATAAGATCGAATGGTAAATGTTCGAGAATGTTTGAAAAAATATTTTAGACTGTAAATCTAGCTTTGTAATTAGTGCCATTTATTTCATGGAATTACAGTTTAATTTATTTTGTACTAAGTTGAGTTTATAGTATCAGTAATTTATATCGTGCCATTGTCTTGCATCGTAAAGATTACGGAAACGATTGGTAACGATTATTTCTTTGTTCTTCTTTCATAATTTGATTAATTTGATTTTCGTTAAAGTATATTCATTAACGTATACATGATTGAAAATCAAGTTTATTATCACTTTAGAAACTCATACAATAGCTAACAATAATCTTGCATCTTATATGGAACAAATGATATACTTTCTGTAAATATTAAAAGTTATATAAAAATAAGCTACTAACAAGTCATGTAAAAATTTAGGTTACTACGTATGTATCACTGTACACCTTGTAATGTCATTCCACTATTATTGAAATAAAGAAAGATATCATCTCTCTACTTCATAAGTGTTCTATAACAACTAATACTTTATATTAGTAATATTAGTTTTCAAAAAATATAAAAATACATTAGGAAAAATCATTTCTTTAAGAAGATCTGTTTTATTTGTCCAAAATGAAAATGAAAATATGTTTCACTATTTCAGTCTTAGATAGATTATAATATAGAACAAAAACATTATCATAACGAAGCATTTTATTAAATAGATGTAAATAGATAAAAACGTAACATAATAAACTTGTAAACCATACATAATTAAAATAGCACATCACAAATTCTATTTACGTACTTAATATACGACGAGGAAATCTTGAAAATCGTAAGAAAATATATATCTTTTTTTAATTTCGACGTCTTAATGCCTCAAATAGTAACAAGTAAATGGTATTAATAGTATACAATTCCATACAGATATACTGGTACTGAAATACAGTTTTCAGTTTACTAAGGGACATGGTTTCTACAATAGATAGGATGCAGAGATGAATATATTATTTCTGCTTTTGGACAATAAGAAAAAACAATACGAAAAAAAGGAAAAAAAAAAAAAAGAAAACGAATTTCTTTGTACGAGGGGAAAAGAATGTGCTTTTCTTAATAAAGTTGTTGAATTATTATGACAAGTAGATACAAAAAAAAAAACATTCATTAAAAAAAGGATATTGTTGAAAAACAATTACCTTCAAATTTATATTTTTAGATTCTGCAAACATATTGTAATACGATATGTGAAATCTATATTCGCATTTTAACAGTATCACGTGTTACCTGCAACCCACTGTTCACTTCCACCATCGCTGTTAAAAGCATTTTCATTATTATTTTCAACGTTATTTATTAGGCCATTTTCATTGGCATCATTTACGTTATCTCTCATTTCATTATTTTCTAAATCACTATTTTCTTCTGAACTGCTATCAAAACCTTCATCATGTTCGATATTTACGTGTACTACATTATTATCTGTATATACAAAAATCATCATAAATTAATTTAATTTTAATCTCATTATATTAATTTACTTTTATTAAAATTTTAACAAACGAATAATTACCAGCTGCTCTATTTGGAAACCTTAGTTCTCTATGATCTGGCATATGTATTTCAACATCAACTGGGTTGGCCATGTTAAGTATTCTTAACAACCATAAAGGAAAACCATTCTCTAAAGCATAGATATCATTCTCATTTTCAATATCATTTTCAAGTACATGAATAAAGGGTTGTAAGTCTTGCAAATCATTTAATTCAGCAGCCATCATATTATTACCTTCACCATCCCTGTTATTATTTGCAAGATCACCATTTTCAACTTCAATTATTTCGAGAATTTCAAGTCTTGGCGCTTCTGCTATACTTGGTGATTCGGAATCAGATATATGATCTTGTGCTATACTCGATAGATCGTATTCCGGTGTTATGTCTTGAGTGGAAGCGGTGTTTGGATATCCGGAATCCATTACTTCTGGAGACCAACTACTTGGAGGTGTTTCCACGGTTTCTGGAGAAGATTTCAACTCGATGTTTTCTACTACTTCCACGATATTCGAATTTATATTTTTACATTTTGATTTGTAATTCTCTCTATCACGTTCAAGTTGTTTCTCACTGTTTAATACTGATGTTGAGTCAATGTTTTTTGTGCCCTCAATATTAAAGCTAGATATCTGGGGGATACTTTCTAAATTACTAATATCTTTGGGATGATTACAAGACATTTCGATATTATTTACATCTTTAATGCTTCCTAAATCACAGGAATTATGTAATTCAGATATTAATTCAGTCTTTGCATTTGAACCTGATTTTATCATTAATTGTTGATTACTTAGGTGAATTTTTGTATCATAATATACTGATTGTATATTATTTGTATTTATTGCAGAAAATTCTTTTTGTTCTTCTGAAAATTTTTCTGCAATCAAAGAATTTGACTGCGAAATTTTATCAACGGCAGGAACATCTACTTGTAATATTTCATCTTTCTTAATGTTGTAATTGATACTTAAAGAATTTGTTTCAGGCAATTCCTCTATCACTTCTTTATCGCTATTTAACGTTGAAGTTATTGTTACAGTATCGTCACTTGAAAGCGTATCTTGATTAGAATTATTTACCAACTCGTTCTCGATGTTTATATTTATGTCATCTTTAGACATTGAAATATCTTGCTTATGATACTTTTCTACTGCACTTGAATTAACAGTTGTTGTAGATATTTTGATATCATTATTGCTCTGTAAAAGTTCTGCAGCATTACTGTTTAATAAATTACTGCTATTAGACATTGTTACTTGAGATTTCTGTATTATGTCTGATGAATTATTATTATGCTTCTGTTCCTTATAATCAAGAGATCTTCTCTTTTTACCTATGCTATTTACTTTATTCTCGATCTTTGGTGAACTGGTAAACAATGGTGGATTTTCTACTACAGCACTACTGGTAAAGAATACACTATTGCTGGATTGCAAATGATCTAGTAGTTGAGAATTAACTTTTAACTTGATATTATTCTGCTGAACACTTTGCACTTGATCCTGATTTAAATAATTTATACTCGTATTTGTGTTATTACCTAAATGTTCAATATCAGAATCTTCATCTTCTTTGTATGATGTATGTAAATATATATTGTGCAAATAATTACAGTCATTAAAATTATATTTTGTTTTCTTGCATTGGTCAATGTTTACATCTGTAGTACTACTTACTGATATATTTTCCGGTTTCAGCGAATTATTTAACATCCAATGATTACTCATATTTTGATTAGACATACTATCGTTTTCTAAATGCTGGTCCAGTTTAACAGCGTGTAAAAGATATGGGTCAGGTGAAGTAGATGCCCGTGAAACAGACATATACGGTGGAATGTTTAATGAATGATTAAGATTTTTCGCAATACTTGATACAGCGTCATCTTGCATATTCGATGTTGTATAAAGAAATGAATTTTCTTTCATATTTTCAAGTCCCGTGGTTAAGCAAGGATTACATAATTCTATTGATTCGTTTAAACACGATGGAACATTATCTTCAAATGCATCGAAATTATCTGTACTAGGTATTGGATCTAAGTTTACTTTACTACTAATTTCAACTTGCCCTTCAAAAATTTCAGTATTTTTTATCGTTTCCAATTCAGTACTTAATAAAACATTTTCTTCATCAAAGAGATAGGTATTGTCTTTAAGCACAGAATTATTTTGTGGGATGACAATACTCGGTTCCCCATCCCAATTATCATTGTCCCATGTATCTAAAGAATTTTCTTCCAAGAATTTGGAATTTATAGGTGGTCCAGGCTCTCTACTCTGATCATCTTCATCTTCAAAATAATCATCATCCCATGAAACATATTCCACTGAACTTTGATCAGAATAGCTTGAGACTGGGGGTACTAGCACAACCATTCCAGATTCACGATTTTCTATTACCCAACCAGCTTCCTCTAAAATGATTTGTAATCGATTCTCAGAAATATAAAACGATTTTAACATGTCTAACAATAATTTTAATGGAATTTCTTCTTCCAGGTCTTGAAATGATAACTGTCTAATGTAAAATGTAGCCTGATCAATAATTTTTTCTTCGTCTGAACGATTGTCTATACGAAATGGGTATTCATGCTTCACCACGGTTTTAAATAAATTTTCAATACCAATTCTACAAATTTGTTTTTCACCGATGCGGTTAAAAATGGCCATTTGAGTAATACATCCTAGATGCTCTGTGCCTTCTGGACCTTTACCAATTCCTTCAAATGTTACTATATAGTCTGGATAACTTGAAGTGATATTTTCCGCCCTGTTAATAAAAAATGATATATTCATATACATACATATATACATCCATACATATATGTATATATATATATATTATTCTTAGTTATTATGTATTACAAAAATTTTTAATTAGAAAAAACATTTTTTACCAATCTTGGAATTGTTGTCTAGTCCATTCAAATTTATGATCATAATGTCTAAACCCAGAAAAATTTGGAAATAATACATTAAAATCTGCATTTGGTGTTGTTATGATTACTAATTTTGGTTTGATATATCCAAAAATATTATAAGTGAAATCTATCAGAACATCGGGATACAAATGCTCAATTCTGAAATATTAAATATTTGTTATACATTCCATAGAATATTATTTGTACTTTAGTTTTCTATTATTTGAAAACTAAAATTGAAAATAATTAACTACATTAGCTAACAACTCACAATTCTATGCAAATTACAGCATCTGTGTTTTCTAGTTTCCTGTCATTCTGAGTAACACTACCCTCGCATATTTCTATTACAAGAGGTGTAGTTCTTGTGTGTAAATATTCGCATGTTAATGGCTCCGCCTTGTCCTTATGAGCTTCTAGTAGTGATCTATTAATATCCACACATAATATTTCTTCTACACCAGTTGTATTTTTTAGGTAAACCAAAAATTCAAGTTCTGCACATCCAAAATCAACAACCTATAATTGAAAAAGCTATAATAATTTTATGATATTAGGAAGCAAAGAAAATTGTGTAAATTTATATTTACAAACATTAATAATAGAAAAAATCATGTTATATAATTTGTATCACTTCATAACTTATGTTAGAATATGCACAAAAATAGCTACTATTTATTCATGAAGAAAAATATTTATTAGCGATATGATCGAATGTGTTTTCAATAACAGAAAAATTTACAAGCTAATTAAGGTACAATGAAAGTACACGTAGAAATATAATACCTTGCGTAATTTTCCTTGGTATTTTGTATCACTAAGTATATCGGAGACAGCCACATATCTTTGCACGTATGCTGGCGGGAAAAATTTTATAGGCTTCTTATCAAGATCCTGAGGTGCCTCAGGATCTCGCATCAGATAATCTTTCTCAGAAATATTGAATTGTGTCGTCGTATTAATCGTATCATCGCTTATCGCTTTCTGCTTATTACTTCGATAATTTTGATACACAAATTTGCCAAAGAGATAAAGAACATGGAACAGTACAATGATCATGTCAGCAACAAAATTCAATTGTGACTTTTATAACTACCAAATTTTTCTAACATAGCCCGATTCACTTTCCCTTGTGCGCAATGTCAGCCATATTGTTTTGTTTTGAAGGCGGTCACTAAATTACGTTTGATTGGTGCATAGAGTTCAAAACGCGCCACAGTTGGGATAGATCAGTAAAAGTTTTCGCATCTTCAGTTGGTATAATATTTTTATAAATATGTAATTTGGTTATTTATGTAATGTATATTTATTTATAATTCCAACCATCACCTACGTTGTAATCTCATTTTATAACAAATCGGTAATGTTGAAAATGACATTAAAATAACACGAGGGATTCCGAACACTTTTATTTTATGCTAAATCGGTAAGGTTGGAAACGATATCAAAACGGTAATTCTGATCCGTACATCTTGAATTTGTATGACGTAGAAATGCATTATTTGTGATAAATCTTTCTTATTTCCAATAATTTATTATGTTTAGTACAAAAAAAATTTCCAAATTTCTTACCTTTCAAAATTGTATATATCTTTTCTTTATATTTTGGATTTAAAAATCTTCATCTTATCTTTATGATATTACTCGTAGTTAAAAATATAATGAATGTAAATTATAGAGATAATGGAAATATGAAAAACAACATGCATTAATCTTTCCAATATGTCTATCATGTTTTAAATTCGAAAGGGATAATAATTTACACAGCAGATTGGTATTATAATTTATTTGAGATTTAATAATAATTAAAATAATAATGCGATAATTATTAATATCGGTAGCAGTTTACTAATTTTCTAAGAAAGCGACGGTATACACGTTACATCGTTTACATAAATTAAAATGACAGTCGACTTTCTTTATATACCATTTGTAGCATCTGTTCACGTGTATATATTGGAACATCTAAAAACCATTGTCGGTTTTACTCGCATTGTTCTGCTTTCTCATTCCCGTCTCGTCATTAGTAATAGACTCAAGTACATTTTTATATATAGTATTTCGTTTATATATATATATTTATATATTTATATGCGATTTATTTATAAGTATATGCATTTATAAGCGCGCAAATATATTATGCACGAGATCTCTCGGTGGCTGTTATGCAGCCTACAGGAACATAAAACTCGATTCTCTATCGTTAAAATTTGTTATTTCTGTAAACGCGGCTATCTACATGATAAATCTTGCAGAATTTCGAAGAGCCTTAACGTTCAGCTATTACGTTATACGATAATATTTTATCATCTCGTTTTATTTACAAAAGAATTGTCTGTAGATTCCTTTCTAGTAGAATAATATGTTTTCTTTCTCTTTCAAAATTGGGAGATTGTCGATAGTTTTCTTGTACCCTTGTCCCGTTCAAGGATGCGCCGAAGATATATAAATTCGCCGCGAACGGAAGGCGAAATAGAAAACGTTCTATGTACTTTTAACATTACACAGGTACCCGCAAAGATTGTTTTTCTCGCTTCGATAGAACGCGATAGAAAGGTTATGTGACCGCCACGATGCGCGGTCGGTAAATAAATAAAGTGTCGAGTTCGTGTCGTTGGTACGGCGTAAAGAACGATCAAAAAATATTATGCTACAGAGTGACTCGTGTCTTACGAACATTTCTAAACGCATCGAAGAGACATTCGTAAATCTCGAAAAATAATCCGTGTTGCATTTCATTCTCCGAATGCATCACGTATTGATTATCTTCAGTTGATTAGATTAGATAACCTCGAAGATTATCTAAAGAAATTCACGCGCCAGGCTAATCGAGGAAACGGCAGTAACAGAATATAGTCATCGAGTTGAAATATTTTTCGTCGACACTTAAAGTATCGCGACACTTTTAACACATTTGTCGTTACACGTATATATGGGTACGTTATACGTTCTTTTCGCTACGGTATAAAGCACCGGTTGCCTCGATTAGTCCAACGATAGAATCGGTGAGCGAGTTGGCGTAACGAAATCTTAATAGAAAATTGGATAGAGTGGCACATTCGTCGATACTGAATAAAACGTAGGATGTTAGTTGAACGTTGCAGGAAAGATGATCATCTCGTATCGCGATATAAGCTTCGCAGCATTTAATGCATCGAAAGTTTCCCTTCTATTCATCTTCTTGCTCACAGGCGAAGTGTGTGTATACGCATAGAGAGAAAGGTAACGCGACAGAGCGATATATGAACGGTACTTAATCCATTTTTACAGAGCATAGAAAATTGAGCTCAGACCTGATCGACGATGCGATCACGCGTGTGGTAATTCTTGCGAGAAAACGTTCGATAACTCGTTCCCGATTAAGCGTTGCGTCAATCAACCGATAGTACACGATGGTCGTAATTGACGAAAAGGGATCCATTCAAAGGAGAACCATCTTGAAGTTGTGCCGTGGTCGTGAACTGACGATTTGGCGAACGCGTGTCCTCACCCGCGGGAGAAGAAGATACAACGAGAAAAATCACACGATTATATCTGTATGTGCACATTTAGTCTCGTTTTCGGTGAGAAAGAAAGGCGTAATTTTACGTGGTGTCGCGGAAAAGAAAAGCATACGATACATCGTCGCACACGAGGATGCAAATTGTACGCCAGAAAATTAGGCAATGCGTGTTCGTGGAAACACGAAACATAACGATTCGAAAAGATTATCCTCGAATTTTTGCGAAATATTTTCTCGATTATCTCGTCTTTCCCTCCGTTTCTTATTATATATATATTTTTTTCTTTTTGAAGCTTTCTTTCGTCATTTCATAATCGCAACGATAATTATCACTAGATAACGTGGTCGTATTAGCATAAAATCGTTATATATATCACAAGTGTTAAAATTGTCCTCGCGCGACATGTTTAGCGATACGTAAGGGTTCTAATTAATTCATTCTCGAGACACTACAGTAAATATCACATGGAGCGATGAGAATTTCAATTAAATATAAAACGGCGATCGATCGTGCGATATCGATTGCGTCGTTATTATACATACGGTGACCGCGACAATCGAGTACGGTGAACGACCGATCGGAATCGCCGTTTACAAAGAATTTCTATATACTTTCAGGAGGTACAGATTCAGGCGTAAGATTGATCCAGCGATATAGCGATTTTGTTCCCTTTTTCGACCCAATTTCTTAATCGGCCCCTTAACTCTTCCAAGCTCTTCGACTTCGCTTTGTTTATCCTCTTGTACTTTACGTCTTTTGGTTTCGTGACTGATCGGTGATTGCTCATTACCCTGTTGTACGTGACCTGAAACAGAATGAAATTTATCAGCAAAAACGATTCTTCACTCTACATTCCGGTTCGATTATTTTTGTAATATTACGAATATAGGTAATCCTTAGATAACATGGTAAAGAAAAATTATTTTTGGATGCTAATTTTGGACACTGATTTAGAAATCTTAACTCTGGAATCTTAATTTTGGAATCATAATTTTGGAATATTAATTTTGGAATCCTAATTTTGGAATTTTAACTTTGGAATGCGAATTTTGGAATCCTAATTTTGGAATATTAATTTTGGAATACTAATTTTGAAATTTTACCTTTGAAATGCTAATTTTGGAATTCTAATTTTGGAATTTTAACTTTGGAATGCGAATTTTGGAATCCTAATTTTGGAATATTAATTTTGGAATACTAATTTTGAAATTTTACCTTTGGAATGCTAATTTTGGAATGCTAATTTTGGAATCCTAATTTTGGAATTTTAACTTTGGAATGCGAATTTTGGAATCCTAAATTTTTGAATTTTAACTTTGGAATGCGAATTTTGGAATCCTAATTTTGAAATTTTAACTTTGGAATGCTAATTTTAGAATCCTAATTTTGGAGGCCTGAATATCCTGTAACGCGACGTCTTATGAATTATGTGACGATGGCTTGTATTAACGTTCACGTGTTAAACTACTAATTATTCCATAAGAAATGAATGCCACGTGATAAATTTAGTCCGTTTATTGTTCTAATTCTGCAATGTAAAAGTGCACCAACATTGCAAATTTCTCAGCAAACCAAGCTAAAGGCGCGTTAAATATCGCGCCTCGTTAATTTGAAACAAAAACGCTATAGACTTCGAGTACATCTATCCTGTTAAAGTATCCCAACGAAGAAACTTTAGCACGAGTAACTTCTTATAGTGGCGATTAGGGTGTCTGATTACTAATCTTAAATGTCCCGAGATCGAATCTCGATTTCTTTTAGAGCCTTCTCGATTTCTCGCGTGAAGTATATTAATTCAAAAATTATTCACAGAATTGGATATGGCTCCTCCAGCGATTCATGTCTTCCGGCAAATTATAAAGCTAAAGAATTCAGCTTGTCCTCATAAAGCATCATCGTGTCCTCTTAAAAGGCCACCGGTAAACACTGTCGAACTTAGAAAAGTATTGGGTTGGCAACTAAGTGATTGCGGATTTTGTCAATAGATGGCTTTTGCACATTCTTTTGTTTCGTCAACGTGTTCAAGGCACCTAACTTATATTATTTCCTTGTTGTTTGGACTTCCGCCTTTAATTTAGTTGAAAAATTCTATCGATTAATTATTTAGTTTCATTTTTATCCCAATTTAAAAATGGAAGAACAAGACGCGCATTTCGGACATATTTTATTGTTTTATTTCCGAAAAGGCAAGAACGCATCGCAAGAAGTTACGTGCCGTAAATGGGAATGAAGCCTTGAAAGAAAGACAGTGTCAAAATTGGTTTGCCAAATTTCATTCTGCTGATTTCTCACTGAAAAATGCGCAACAATCTGGCCGTCCAGTTGAAGTTGTCGAGACCCATATCAAGGCCATTATCGATTCAGATCGTCATAGCACAACACGTGAGATTGCAGAGAAGCTCGATGTATCGCATACATGCATTAAAAGAAAATTAAAACGACTTGGCTATGTCATAAAACTCGATCAGCTTAAGGAAATTCATTTGACGCAACGCATTAGCATCTGCGATTCGCTTCTGAAACGCAACGAAATTGATGGATTTCTGAAACGACTGATAACTGGTGACGAAAAGTGGATAGTTTATAACAACGTTAATCGGAAAAGATCGTGGGTGATGCAAGATGAACCAGCTGAGACGACACCAAAATCTGAGATTCGCTACAAAATTTTGTATTTTCCTTCTTGTTTATCCCTTTCGCTCCGACGAGCGTATATATACGCTCTGGAAAAATGGGCGATCAGGTACGAAGAGCGTACATATACGTTCATGCCATATATACTTTTATTTCATACTTTACAGGAGTAACAATCCTGAAAGAGTTACTGAAAGACATTTTCCGTCTATATATTCGAATGAGGCTGTTTCGTCCCGGAGAGCGTATTTAGAATAAGATTCTATAATTAAGGCCTACACTTTTAACAGACCTAACTGTTTATTTTATATTTTATACCGCGACTGCAATTCCAGAGGTTCGATGTGCCTCAACGCCGTTCTAGCGGATTAAGCTTATAAAGGTAAAGCAAAATTAGGAATTTTACTAGTACCAGACGCGACAGATGGGACCCACTTGTGACAGACCCAACAAGCAACGGACGGACGGCACTTATAAATCACGTCATCGACCATCAGAAATCGGCTCCTTGACAGTTTCCTACTCCTTAGCCAAAGGTCCTTATGTCACACCCTCTGTCCAATTAAAACTCTTTACCTTTCCACCACCAACATCTATTTTACCCAATCAGAACTAAACTAGAGAAAACTCCGGACCGAACACGACGAGACAGGACATAGAGCAAAATCGAGAAGTCAGTTCGTCTTCGGCACCGATCCTTAAAACATCTAAATTACACATACAAACGCATGTTCGAAACGGTACTCCGTTAACGTCTACGTTATAACTATTCTACGCTTTTCTGTAAATAAACACTCTCTTTCGACCACGCACATTCTGGATCCTTATTATCGCAACTAGTCACGCAATATTAATTTGGCGCGTGATAAGCGTTCATGGAAATCGAAGAGATTCGATACCGTAGGACGATACAGAGGCATCAAAAAAGGAAAAATCAAGTTCGAAAATGTGTCGTCTGCAGTAAACACGGTGTTAAGTCTTGGAATGTCGTTCCGGCATTTCGTTCGGCTCTTTGTTTAGAATAGACCCAGAAGAACGTTAGGGTCTTCTGGCAGCCAGATTCTAATTGCTGTTTTAGTTCAAGTTCCGTGTCCTTTCAATCTTCATTTTCAAGGCATTTTCAAACAATTCTTTATTTCCCTCGGGTCACCGGACACGAGGCATTCTTTAGCCATTAATGTCAGAAAGCAAGCAACAGCACTTAGGATTTGGCTGACAATAGGTCTGCAAGGAAAGGGACCATGCCATGTGCGATGTCGCGAGTTTCGGAGCCACGAAGTAACGGGTACTGTAGAAAGGGTCACGAATGTGCGGGTGACTCACCGAAACCCCCTTTGAGGGAGAAGCTTCCTCGACCAGCCGAGACCAGCCAAGGGCCCACCCTCGGTCCTCTCAAAGACCAATAGGAAAAACGATTCCCTTTGGAAACCATGGGCTCCGAAAGACCGTGCATCGCACAAGTCAGTTAGGTCAGTACCAGTCAGTCAGTCAATGACATTCGAAGAGTTCGGAAGAGTTATTCGAAACTACTACGTAAAATACAGTCCACTATAAACACAACGTTCCTCAAGAAATTTGGTTCGTCATTAACCGTCGCCAATTGAGTACGACCTATTGACGATATACACACGGGAAAAGACGCGAGTCGAGGTACTATTGTTCACAATGTGATGTTGGCTTATGCGTGGTTCCATGCTTTGAACTTTATCATACCAAAGTTGATTATTAACACGTTGACTGCCGCGCGAATTTTACGTGACTTGCCCAAGGTGCCAACATGAATTTCTCATTATGTAATGCATATTATGTTGAAATATTATTTACAGCAGATAAGTTTAGTTGTACAAACTTGTTTTATGCATTTTTCGTGGCATTAATTTCTTGAAAGCATTACAGAAACAATGGTGTTATTTAGAAATTTATAAGTATCGATGTTTACCCTAATTATGTATTTTAACTATTGGTCGCGTTGCCGGTCACCGGTGACCCCCACGGCAGCCAACGTGTTAATATTGTGTTCGGCTTTAAATACTTTAGTAATTTCGTTATATTGTATTAAAAAATATTATCCGAACATTATAATATAATATTGTGGTATCGCAGGATGAGTGGGTCGAGCGTGTTATCTACAGTGCGTGCGAAAGGACGAATGACCGTGCGTTAGGATCGTGTGGACGGGATGTTTATGAATGGATCGGATGAAAGTGAAGAGTGTCTCTAGCAATGCGTTTGAGTGTTTGGGCTACGTGACCCGCTGAGGGCGAGACTGCAAGGAGTGCGTGGGAAAGTGTGATTGGGAAAGAGAGAATAGGTATGAAAGAGGATAGAATGTATGATTTAAATGGGGATGCAAGGGCGTGAGTAGGTAGTATGTAGTATGCCTTAGTATGTTAGAGTTCGTAGTAGAGTTATTAGAAGAGAGTTGTGAAGAAATAAGTTGTTAGTTGTAATCGTGTTGTTAGTTATAATCGTGTCGTTGTAGTCGTAAGAGTTGATATATATATCTATATTCGTAGTCCTTACCGTCACCGCACATTGTATATTATATTATGTTTAATAAATAGTTATATATTATTTTAACAACCACCCGTGTCTCTACAATATTTAAAAAAATAAATTATTGTAGGAAAGGGTTTCAGAGAAACTACAGCTTCTGGGTAGCTCCTTTATTCTTCGTATGCTAGCAGAATAGCGCCCCAAAAACATCCCTCGTTGTTTTATAGGGCATGTCCCATTGTCCATAGTCTGTTCCGCTGGGTTTCAGAGAAACTACAGCTTCTGGGTAGCTCCTTTATTCTTCGTATGCTAGCAGAATAGCGTCCCCAAAACCATCCCTCGTTGTTTTATAGGGCATGTCCCATTGTCCATAGTCTGTTCCGTTGAGTTCCAGTCCAGACGTCCCAGTTTGGCGTCTAGCATCCCCATCTGTGGCTGTTGTCCTTGGGCCTCGGCAAGGCCTTCCTAGAACTCCAACGAGGAGCTTTCTCTCGCCGGAAGACAATGGGCAGCGGCGAAAGTTGCCCACATTATGATTATAAATTTGTATATTTTACAAAGTAAAATGATATTACTAAATACAATAAATATCATTGTAAAATTCAGAGAACAAGGAACGACTTCTAATTACTTCCTAGCATTCCGTACCTCAGTGTCAACTACTCAGTAACGCTCCGTTCACAGCTATCACATTTTGTCACAAACACTCCGTAGCGAAAGGGTTATTTAAAATCCGCAATCACTTAGTTGCCAACCTAACAGCTTAGAATATTCCCCTTGCACACCCCCGCAAAGTGCCGCTTTGAGGAGCTAGTCTTTCTTTCGAGGAACTGGAATTTCGAGGTGCAGCGCGTATGCAAACAGGCTGACGGAAGGATCGAAGGAAACAGTGCGTAGAAAGGAAGATCGTGGTCGGTTTCGTCGAAGGATCCTCGTGCAAGATGCTTACCTGCGCCTGCTGACTTTCGTCTCTCGGCCTCTCGCTGGGCGGAGAGTCTGCCTCTTGAGCGAGTCTCTCGAAGCTGCCGTACAAATCCTGAAGTCTGCCCTTTCCGTTCCCCAAGTTCTTTGCCCGTCTTTCCTCGCATTCCGAGTTCTCCGTGGACTCGGACGGGTCCTGGTTGTTCTCGCTGTCGCCGTCCTCCTCCACCGAGTAGACCGTCTCCAGGATCTCGGGTCTCCTCAGGAACCCGTTGCATCGTCGCATCGACGAGTACTTGCTCGACGGTTCCACCGCGTCCGACACCGATCGGATCACCGTCACGTCCGTGATGTTCGATCGGAACCTGCAAACGTCATACGTCATTGAATCTTCGAATCTTTTGTTACAGGTATCGGTGGCTAGCTCGCGACTACGAACTCTAAACCGGGTAATCCTTGGCACACCTGTACGCGGCTTGGGGTAGGTTGTTGTCAATAATATAGCGATTCCTACGATAATTAGCATGCTTACGATTAGTTTGTATTATCACCGAGTGATGTCATTCTTTTATTTGTATATTAACACTAATTTTACGGACGCTATTTGTATACCTATTTCTAAGGACACCTGTCAAATTGACAGATAAAGGAAACCACGTGCCTCTGTTTTAATGATTAGTTTAATTTTGAAATAATTATATATTATATTAACCCTTCGCACTCGCGAGGTGACCCTCAGTCACCATTTCATAAAATTTCGAAGATCGATGTAGCGTCCTACGGTATCGAATCTCATCGATTTCCAAGAACGCTCATCACGCGCCAAATTAATATTGCGTGACTAGTTGTAATAATAAGGATCCAGAATGTGTGTGGTCAAAAGAGAGTGTTTATTTACAGAAAAGCGTAGAATAGTTATAATGTAGACGTTAACGGAGTACCGTTTCGAACACGCGTTTGTATGTGTAATTTAGATGTTTTAAGGATCGGTGCCGAAGACGAACTGACTTCTCGATTTTGCTCTATGTCCTGTCTCGTCGTGTTCGGTCCGGTGTTTTCTCTAGTTTAGTTCTGATTGGGTAAAATAGATGTTGGTGGTGGAAAGGTAAAGAGTTTTAATTGGACAGAGGGTGTGACATAAGGACCTTTGGCTAAGGAGTAGGAAACTGTCAAGGAGCCGATTTCTGATGGTCAATGACGTGATTTATAAGTGCCGTCCGTCCGTCGCTTGTTGGGTCTGTCACAAGTGGGTCCCATCTGTCGCGTCTGGTACTAGTAAAATTCCTAATTTTGCTTTACCTTTATAAGCTTAATCCGCTAGAACGGCGTTGAGGCACATCGAACCTCCGGAATTGCAGTCGCGGTATAAAATATAAAATAAACCGTTAGGTCTGTTAAAAGTGTAGGCCTTAATTATAAAATCATATTCTAAACACGCTCTTCGGGACGGAACAATCGATATTAATTAATATATTAAATTTAACGTAATGTAACAGTGTGCAAGGTATCGGAATCAAATAATTCTACAATTCTGTTATTATAAAATTCTTCGTTTACTGCTCAAAAAAGTATCGTCAGTATTTTAGTGGAGAATCTTTGAATGTCTACTCTTCTCTAGCCAAAAAATCGTCGAGTGCGAAGGGTTAACTATATATAGGAGGAAATCTCTAGTTAACCACTCGCGCTGGCAAGAAATTCAGCGTGTGCTAGAACGGTCCAGTGTTTCCGTGACAAATGTCTGATGACGTGTATACCACGTCGTTGGCGATTCTGCGACAAAAGCATTACGACGTGCGTGGCACGTGTTTCCAGCGCAAGTGGTTAAGAGTAATAAAGCTTAATCATAAATATCTCAAAAGCTATGGACTAGTTTCCCTTATAATGGTACATCTTCCTGAACTGCGTGACTAAATCTACAAACCTGCAATGTCCCTTCTCCTTGTAAGAGACAAGTCACGAAGTCGAGTGAGCAAATTCTTGGAATTTCTATTTGAAAATTTTCGTAGGTTTCGAAGAAAAGCTGACACGTACCTCGGTGGTGCAAGATCATCCGCGGCTTCCTCGAGGACCACGGCGCTGTCGCTGTCTCCGAGGCTGTCCAATCTGTCGAGAGCGTCGCAAGGTGGCGAGTCCCTTGTGCCGGTGCTTCTTTCCGCCAGTCTGCTCTGTAATTGTCGGATCACCCTCTGTTGTCTGAGAATAATGGACTCTCGTTGCGCGAGACTAGCCTCGATCTCTTTCTGCTTCCGACAGAGCCTCGACTCGAACAGCAGCAGCTGCGAGGACAGTGTCCGGAGCTGTTCCGCCTTCTCTCTAGTCAGCCGAGCCACGAGGTCCTCCTGAAACGATCATCATCGCGCGTTCAGCCGCGGTCTGCGCAGTTTCGTGGTCGAGGTAAACGCGCCACTTCTGCCTGGCTTTATCGACGTCGAATTAATCAGCAATTTGTACTAGTCGCCAGAGTCTCGCCTCCTCACCCCTCGCCGGCAACGATTAATCACGTTGACTCATTATCGATAATCAACGGATGGGAATCGCTTGATTAACGATGCTTTTTCCGACGGTCTTCCGGTTGGAAGGAAGAAGGAACGCAAGGGTGATATAAAAAGATTGGCAAGAGGACCAGTGCGAGACGATAATTATAAAATTTGCGTCCAGGGAGCTGGTCGTCGTGGCCGTCGTAATTAGTCCGAAGATCGTATCGACGGAGAGGAAGTGGCGCCGGTGCAGAACCGTGCTTTCAACCTGACCGTAATGCATCTTCGATCTGACCGTAATTTGGAATTAATTAGGAGGCCTCGAGGGTTTGCCTGGACCGCGTTACGGCCGCCATTCTGGCAACGCGTCGCTTTATTGCCTCTGTTTCTCTTTCGCTTTCGATCATGCCGCCTGTGCAACAAATATCGACTCAACGACGGTAAACATTCAACGACATAACCAACCAACCACGAAATATCGTTCCCCGCTGTTCAACGTGCAAACAATCGTTCATCCACCTGGCCCATGACAATCCAGGCTCAGAGAGCTGCTTCGCGATCGAATATCGAATATAGGAATTCAATTTGCAGCAAATCGGTGCTCGACTAAGAGACTAATCTCAGTCGAAATTGAAAGTTAATCAACTACGACTGACGAATCCGTTAAACGACTGATCCATGAACTGACTGGATACTAGCAATGAGAGACGAGCAACACGATTTTCGAGCAACGACGAGGGAAATTAACTGCTTTCGTTTTAATTTAGAAGGACCAGAAGTGAAAAGCTGGAAAGCAATAGTTAGGTACCTGATTTTTAAACATTGCAGTGTGCACGGATCAAAGGTATTCGTCTATTATTCGAAAATTTTGCAGAACCAGAATACATATTTAAATCAGATGTGGTATCGGTAAATAATATGGTACCATCATTCTGAAAAAAGTTAATCAAAATCGGTGTTTTCTAATTCGGTGATTTCCTTAACACCTGATACCATTCGCTCCGTGTTGCAGTCGTATCAACCTTTAATGTCAACGTTTAACGTCGACGTTTAGAAGACGCTACAACGAAATATGTCAATGCAAAGATGGCAGAGAAAATCTTGTACTTGTATCGAGATTAAGCTGTATCAGTTAGTAAGCTGAAGTCAGCTGTAAACTGTATCATATCTGTTAAAGGGGTTATTACGCAAGGAAGAGTAGTCAGTGGAAAACTGTGGAAAAACAGTGTATATCTTTATTCAACGGGCGAATAGTTAGAACAGAACTGTTCAGGGGCTCGCAGGTCAAAAGTCTTCTAGAGAAGACTGGTGACAAAAGACAGAACATTGGGGAAAGGGATCGCCCTCACACCGTTGGAATGTAGAGTTTGCTTCTCTATTGAATTTTACCATAACAATATCCAATTAATCCATAATCGATTAATGGATTATGCGATTGTATTTTCTACACACCCGAATATTCAATCAACTATACAGAAGGTCTTGCAAAATGTCTGATGAGTTTTCGCAGACTGTGGAGCCTTTCAAAACGCGGGGCTGGGTTCTGGTGAACGCGCTGGACCCCCCTCGCACCGGCCCTGGTATTCGCTATCGTTGGCTTCCATGAGTGATACAGAAGGATATAAATTTGTTGACCAGTTGTAGCAGATATACTACCAAGGCTGGACGCTAACACAATCGAGTCGAGGTACTTTATACGGATTTAAAGAGTGGCAAACGATCGTTGCTCGCCAAGAAACTTCGATCTCCGGCGTCTCTTCGGCTAATAATTTCGTCATTTTGGAGACCGAAGTCTGCCGTTACGAGCCATTCTTCATCGCGCGCTAGCAGCCATTTTAGAAGAGAAATTTAACGGCGAAGTTAACCCGCGAGGGTGCCAACTTTCACGCTGGCGCCGGACAAGCGCCTTGACACACAAACATTCGGCGTCCCTGATCAATTTTTCCGCCATTGCCACCCTCGCGCTGCTATTTCCGACTTGGGGAGCAGAAGAGGGATCGTCTTTGGAACAGCAATCGTCCTCAGCTGGCTGCGACCTACTCCATCTTCGTTCGACTGACGCTTCCAGCCGCCATAACCGCGGCCGAACCTAACCTCGCGGGGAAGACGATCGTAAATCCTCCTCGGCAACCGATCTCGACACGCGAGTGGTTTACGCGGGAAATAAAAGGACGCTGAGACGCCGTGCACGTGTGTAATGCGGAGTGCTCTCGGTGTCTAGGGTCGCCTAAAATCTTACAGTTGATTCGATGCTTAACGGCCGGCGTCGAGACGCGACAAATCTCCGAAGGAGCGGACATTTTGGGAGGAAGGTCCGCCATTTTGTCGACTTTCTTCTTTACTTCCATTATTTTAATTAATATCCGCTCAGCCGAGTTTCAGGAATTATTGAAAATGACTCTATCGATATTTTGTCGCATGAAAGAGATAGCTCCGATGGTCATGACGACTTTTCCATCATGGAATTTTTAAAAGTAATACGTTCCTAGCGACCGTCATTCTCGTCCTCGCCACTAGATGGACTCCGACTTCAAGGAGGTTAGAGGACTTTCTCGCAAGTTCTCGGACAACCTCCGCTTCGTATATACATAACTTCCAAACCTTCCAATAGTATCCCCGTCTAAGATAAGGCCCCTGCCTGTTAGATAGCCTTATTGATGAGTCCACTAACAGGCCCACAAACGAATCCTTTCGGCCCTTCTAGCATCATTGCAACACCGAGTGTACCTGCGACCAACCGATTTCAACGATAAGGGACCCCCCCCCCCCATCGAAACTCACTGTGCTTAGTAATAAATACTTCGAACTTGCACAGTTCAGTTACAAATGGCACTGTAGCTCATTTATAAATGAAAGAATAAAATTTAATTCCTCGGTTAATGGCTCAAATAGGGACTGTGGGGTCCTACCCCCTCTTCCTTGTTGCTGTTGCGGTTGGTCAGCATCCTCGGTGTTTCGGGACGAAAGGAAAAGGGAAGGGATAAGGGATGCGTTTCGCCCTGGGGCCTTGCTAGTGGAGTAGTTGGTAAGGGTGGCTATCTAAAAGGCAGGGGCCTTATCTTACAATTAGACGTGTGGATACTATTGGAAAGTTTGGAAATTGTATACCGAGGAACGAGAAAGTCCTCGAACCTCCTCCAATTCCAAGTTGAAATCCATCTATTAAAGATGAGAATGATGCCGTCACAGGACTTCTGTTGGAATACGTACACATTGTACTAATCGCAACATCCATTATGTAATAAGTAAATCTCTTTGTACATTTTCGCACGGTTCGTGCGTATTCACTTATGCAATCGCTTTCCTGTTCTCTCCTTCTTCTAGATCGGATTACCGTGCCATTAACCCGTGTATGCGAGTTTAAACATGAGCAAAGTTGATTGTCCCGAGATAAACCATATTTCCACTGCTAAATTAGACACTCCGAGCTCTCATAACTACTGCAGGTACTTATACGTGTCTGACGTTCAGCGTGGACTAGGTTTGCCTAGCATTTAGCATAAACCCTCGCGATCTCCCTTTCCATTTTTCATCTTACGAAATGACGAATCTACCCTTCGCCATTGTCTCACGAAAATTACAGTCCACGGAATGACCAGGCGACTAGCATCGTGCATTTCGTCGTGGCGTCACGCTAGCAGCCTCTCGACGCGAGTCTCCTCGAAAAAGCAACGCGAAACCGTGCTTTCAGCTTCGATCAGACAACGGACTCCCAGCGGAGGTCCTGGTTTTCTTTCGGAAAACACGCGAGATAATCGCTTCAACTCGACCGGGAACAAAAGAACCATTTTCCGCTTCGTTTAAGCAGCCAAAGACGAAGCTCCGTTCTACTTTCGCGTTTCTTCTGGCTGTTAGTCGTGTGTGAATGCACAAGATGTCGTTGGGAGATACGTATGAGCAGGAACCAAGTGATACCACGTAAAAAGATAACTTTTTCATGCATTCGGAGCTTGAAAAGAGGAAAATTGGTTTGGAAACTCTGTCCAAGATTTGTAGAGGTTTATAAGACAGATATTGCGAATTTAGGCTTATCGGGGCCTTATACCGAGGCCACAAATGGTATCGTACGATCTTTTCTCGCGATGGTGTAGCTGTTCAAATATTGACGTTGTTTATATTCAGTTTTCCTCTTCACTGTACATTTAGACCGCATCCTTCAACGCGAAGAGCACGCCTCGCATTCTGTCAAAGTCCTGTCAAATTCTGATAGAGTCAAACGGATCAAAGCGAGGATCCCCTAAGTGCTGTGGCCAGTTTAGACCGCATCCTCAACCCTGTCGCGTCAACCTATTATCGAGTCTTGCAATCTTGGAAATTTCAATCGAGAGAGTTGCAATGTTTGGGATGCAGCACCACCGGCACCACCGTCAGCGTGTACCACCGGTGGCCCAGGCTCTCGTCTTCAAGCAAAGCATGATTACGCGCGTCGACCCACATAAAGAAACACAAAAATCAGTGCCGGTGTGAACGTGATAACACGTTAAACGCCACGCCAGTCCCTAGGGACCAGCACTAGACTTTCCGTTCAGGCCTCGCCGGTCAGTTCAGCTCGGAAGGGCCCGCATGACGTCTAACTGGCGTGAACGGAACGGCACGTAAAACCTGCGTGACGTTTAACCACTTGCACTGGCAAGAAATTCACAATGTGTGCCAGAACGGTGCAGTGTTTCTGTGACAATTGCCTGACAACGTGTATACCACGTCGTTGGCGATTCTGCGACAAAAGCATTACGACGTGCGTGGCACGTCTTTCCACCGCTGGATGCAGGACTTGCTCTATCTTTCTGATCGATGTTCTAATACAAATTTTTAATCGTTCAATGGGGCACATTTATTTCAAAGTATCTTCTAATTAGTGGTTGTATTCCAAATGCACTAACTGTCAATTTTCATTCAATGTAGTTCAATGCAGTTCAAATAGTTCCAGCGCTCCAGTCATCAATGACCACCGTGGCGTTACAGGAGAAACCGTGGCCGGTTATATATAACCAACGTGGCAGTCAAAGTGTTAACTTGTTAACACGTTGAGTGCTACGTCAGTCCCTAGGGACTGACAGTAGACTTTTCGTTTGGACGGTGTGGATTCTAGGGACTGACAGCGAATTTTTCGTTTGATCATCATCGATGCGTAAGACTGGCATTGTCAAGGGTTAAATTATCAATGACAATTAATATATTGTAAAAATTTAATTCCCTCTGCTAAAGTAAATCTTTACACTTCCGTGGCTTTTTTCGACTGATCGTTTCTTGGTGATCGCCTTTTTGCCTTTCTGGCATTCCCCACCCCATTATCTTCTGTTTATAATTTGTATATTTGTGCATTGGCTGTACCATTCTCACAGTCCAAACGACAAAGTGAAACAAAGTAATCTTCTGCTCATACCCTTC